AAGTGAGTTTCGCAGTAGGCTTTCCCCTTGCGCTCATAATGCTTGTGTCCTAGGAATGGCTTCTCGCAGACAGCACACACAAAATGCTAACAGATAATCACAAAGACTAGTATTATACCAGTGTCACATTAGCATTTTTTCACAAATCCAGCCAGTTAAAGGATGGAACAATGCTCTATAAAGAATCTTTATCAGGTTTATAGAGTGAACTTGCTTTTAAAATCTGTCCACACTATAAAATTTGATGTAACTGTGATATGCCCAAATTTGTGTGTAATATGACATCATCATGACCTTATATGTGGCGATGTCAAGCAAAAACGGTCGGAAGTCGGAAAAACCAACTTTTATTTAACACCATCAACTGAATAATCACATTATAATAAATAAATAAAACAGTGAAAAAATTATTAAATTCTGATACTTAGTTCTAAAGTTATACTGATTTATATAGCGCGAGGTTAGCAGTTACTGTTTTGAAGAAACGGCGATAAAACGTTAAATGTTTATAACGCCCAGTCGCTGGCAGTGCGCACAGCGTGTAGCTCACTCACATGTGTTCGGTGTGTTCGATACTTTCTTAACAACGGAGGTGTTACCATTGACCGATTGAAATGAAATTTTGCAGAAACATTTTACATAATGTATTTTATAACTGTACAAAGTTTCATGTACTTACATTTATTAATAAATGTGATATTACAGATTCAATTGTGATGGTCGTTTTTACTGTAAAAAACCGGAAATCGAACACTGCGACCTTGAAACCAGTGCGTTAAACTATTACAGAACTCGTTTTATTCGTCGTCAACTTTATCAAGTCTGTGTTATACAGTATAGCCCATTTTGCATGTACCTGTACTATCGAACTTTCTTGTGTAAAAGAAACAGTATTATTCTTTTATAATTATTACAGCAGTAAACAAGTAACTTCGATGAAAACATGTACCTTGCCGACGCTTCCATCGAAAACCCAAGTGACACGGTCTTAGACACGCCCCAAAAATGGTCAGCTGACTGGATTAGACCAATCAGCATGCGTGTTTCCGTTTGTTGCTAGGCCGCTTCCGAATTGTTTACAGTATCAAAATGACTATTTTGATTGGTTAAACAATTTGTGAGGATGAACTGACCAATCAAAATTGTAGCTGACATTCTAAGCTTTCCAACGATATCAAACTTGACACGAGTTTGATCCCGGAACACGATTGAAAAAAAACAGTAATTTCGTGAGTATTTTAAACTATGATTTGCCTTCGTTTCTCATACTTCCGGGTTCGAGTGTCTAACTAAAATCACGTTTTACAGTATTTTTGGTACTTAAATGTGAAAAATATTATTTGAATCCTATTCTTAGATACTTAATATACATGTTTTTAATGAAACACCAAAATGAGCAAATTTGACCTATTGTTTTGCCTTTATATCTTACAATCGTCTTAGCGACTTCCGACCGTTTTGGCTTTTGACATCGCCACATATGGGGACATCATATGGTGTGGACAGAGCTTTAGTAATGAAAACAAATGTCACAAGATTTGAACCAAGACCTTGGAATTTTTAGGCGAGTAAATTGTAAAATATATTTTTTTTTAATTGCGAGAAAAATCAGGCTCCAGAGAAAAACATTTTTTATATGTTGTACAACTTTTTTTTCTAAACGGTTAAGAGATACACATTTTTGAATATTTAGAAACTGGAGGGAAAGGGGGCCATATTTCTGCATTGTTATTTTCTAGGACTTATTAACACATGAGAAATGCACTGATCAAAAGAATTTGAACTGCTATTTCTTACTTACCTCAACATGCCACTGTTTTCCAAGTGCAGTTACAATACGTTCCTCTATAGGACGATGACAAGCACTGCAAATTGGGATTCCCATTTTGTCGTGGCATGGTAAGCAATACAGCTCCGCTCGTAATTCACGTGCACTAGCCGTTAATTCCTCACTGATTATCAATTAGAAATTAACAACAATTATTAGCAGCATTTAGAAGTGCTTTTACATTTGAATCTAACTAAGGGAGCATTTCCAATCGGGGACAGCTACGCAGTGCAATGATTGCAGTGAAAACACTGTAGCAACTGTGTATTGATTCTATGGAAAACAAGCTTAAGGTACTAAAGAAAAATGCCAGGTAGCAACAGGCCTTGGCTTGTAATGAGTCAAAACAAGCCTTAGGTAAAAATGAATTATGCATAAATCATATTTATATAGCGCAGCAACATCAATATTGCAGTGCAGCAAAGTTATTGTGTGGTAATGGGTTAAAACCACTGTATGTGCAGTCTCCCCACAAACCCTATGTCAATACTCCTAGATAGGCCATGTGCCAAATTATTAATCACCAGTAATTAAATAGTGACATAAGACACTAATAAACTGAAAATTCTAAAAGGTGTTAAATACCTCAAAGTGTTCTATGGTAATCAAAATGAATGTATGGTATCATACATATGCTGCCCTCTAGAGTACAATCAATGTTCATGTTATTGTAGTATGTAAGATGCTTACCCGCAGTTTGTACAATTAAAATGATATGGATGGTAATACTCCATCTTGAACTTGATTGGGCCGTCTTCAATAATGGCACTAGAAGATAAAATGGTTTAAAAACATAGAAAAAATAAAATGTCTGCAAAAGGGGCATGTGTACATGGACACTTTAAGGCAAATCCAGTATCAGAAACAAACAGGATCATTTATATTCAACATGATTAAAATTACTGTGTCTGATTTTTGTGCCCATACAGACATATTATGATATTGGAGTTTTGTCCCAGAAACTCTCCAAATTATTTTTATGATAATAAACATGTTTCATGTTAAGCATACCAGACAGGGACTCTGTCTTTATTGCCAAGTAAATCCTTATTCTTCTGAACATTTCTGCTGAGCTAGAAGAAACGGTTCTTCAACAGAAACCGTTAACCCAATTTTATTTTTGTATCTTTTTCCAACATATTAGTAGATGCTTCTATCTCTGTTGGTTGTAAACATACCAATTTTGTTCCCTAATGTAACCGGCATTAGGAATAACACAACAAATAATGTAATGCTTCATCAACTAAGCTGGTAGAGAGCATCTTAGCTCACTCGGCTAATCTGGTGGTAGCCACGTGCGCGCTGATCGGTGGAGATCTCTAGGTCCCCGGTTCAAATCCCATCGGTGCTTCTCCATGTGTTTCAGTTGGAGGGCTGAAACACAAGTTACAATAGCGCACCGTCCATTGGTCCCGTGTGTATAATGGACTGTGTGCACGTTAAAGAACGCAGTACACAATCCAGAAAAGAGTAGGGGATTGTCTCCAGGAGTACTGCCAATCACTATCAGAAGGACCCACTGGACTTCTTTAGGCTTTCATTGTTCATCCTTGAAGCTTACAGGAAAATAAATCCATCCATCCATCCAAGTCTCAATAATAATGGTAGACTTAGACTTAGATTCCTTTAGACTTAGATTCCTGTACGCTTATCACATTGTTACCTGGGCACTGGTTCAAACGTCAAATGGAGTTCATACAGTACTATGATAATGGACATTGCAGCATTAACCAGCACATTGTGTTTCAGCCTACCAGAAAGACAACCATAGGTAGGTAATGTGTCTTGCCCAAAAAAAGAGAGCCCAAATTACAACCACTTCGCCAACCACACCCTCAGTAAAGCTACTTTTATGATCCAAATCCTGGGAAACCCTGGTACATTAAACATAAAGCTACACCTCAAAATATAATAATAATTTAAATATACTTGATACTTACTGGCATTTGAAACATATGTGTTTGCCACTACCTGTGAGAATTAAATAAATTAAAAACACAATTATAGTAACCTAACAAAATTATTCTTTTGGTAGATTTACTTTAACTTATTAAAAAAAGTTAATTGTCAACAGAAAAATCTTAAGAAATATCTATTTCTAATTAATTTAAACCGATAGTATATGAATCAATTTATCAATAAAACATAATATTATATTTTAGAGATGCATAGCAAAATTAATTATTAATTATTTTTTACTATGGAAGTATCATAATTGTCTGGTAACCAATTTAAGGGTATATACTGTCTCTTATACACATCTAGATGTGTATAAGAGACAGTACCAATTTTGTTCCCTAATGCAACCGGCATTAGGAATAACACAACGAATAATGTAATGCTTCATCAACTAAGCTGGTAGAGAGCATCTTAGCTCACTCGGCTAATCTGGTG